ACGTCGTTTTCCCGAAAGAGAACGACCGGGTCATTTGTTTTTCACGTAAAAATTGTTTTCACGTGACGCGTTTCCGCGGGGGTACATAAGCCGTGGAGCGTCTGAATCACGTCAGTTGGCGGCGTGAGCCGGTGAGCTCCACTCCTCTCTCTCTGGAGCTCCTCCAGAGAGGGGGAAATCTTATCGGCTCCCAAGCCAGGGGTTGGGCCTGGACAAGTCCGGGTCTTATCCGAAGTGCACCGAAAGGTTGCATTCCACCCCAAACCGTCCAGAACGGCTGCATTCCAACCTGAACCGTTCAGAGCAGTTGCATTCTATCTCAACCCGTCCAGAACGGTTGTATTTCTAAACGGAATATGATGTTCAAAGGAGACGTTGTTCGATCGATAAACACATTTTGTTCACTTTAAAGTTTTATTTTTACGCTCAATTAAGCTATGAAAGCTCCTATCACTGTTGAAAACGGCCTGCATTGTATTCCAAACTGATTTAATAATCTCGTCCTCCAACTCCTGACTAACGGAAGTGTTTTTGAAACTTCCGAAACTTTCGGCTTCTCGAAGAAAAAAGTTCCAACCTTCCAACAATCGATAATGCCTTCAAGACGACTCTGTTTTGAATCAATTGAAGAAACAAACCTCACGACAACTTGTTCTGGAGGGACCATGTACAAATGGGAACCTTTCTTGAAGCTGAGAACCTGGTGAACGCCTTGACTATGAACCTGATTATTAATCGAAACATTGCTTTCTCAAAATAAGAATTAAAAGCACCAATAAGGGATTGACAATGCTCTTGGTAGTATGATTCACAGGTGCTACATGACTTGTGTTATGAAATCTTAACATGGGTAATCCGTCTACCACTAATCCTTTATTGATGGGAAAGGATAACTAAAACGAATTGTACTTATGAAATGCTCGTAATCAACCTTAGGTATGTCTGTATTCCGTAAAACCCATCTACACCGAAATCTGAATTCCGCTACATCGCTTTGATCGTTTTTCCTGTAACAGGAAAACAATTCATATCAATTACATGTTTGAAACTGTTCCCTCCTAAGTACAGGCAAACGTGAATGAGGCATACGTCAATCAGTTTGTGGGATTCATGTTGTACTAACAAGGAACTTAATTTACCTGACCCACGATAACAAATTGACTTCATCATCGTTTACATGGATTCGTTCATCCATATCAATCAGCGCTATCCATGACGAATGTTCTCTACTTCTTGCAACACAATCCTGTACCCGATAATATCAATAATTGAGTATTAATATACCTGCAGCTGCATTTCATGCCGACACCTATGTCGAGACATACAGTCCGTAGTTGTTTCCACTTTTATTATTTCAATGACATTCTGTGATTCGTAGTATTTCAGAATCTTTTGAACGTACTCGTCAGACTCATAGTCATATACATAGAAGAACGATGCTCCCTAAACAACCGATATCAATAATAAACTTAGCTATTTTACCTGCAACTTGTAGTACTCTATGAACTCCACTAGTAGCAACCATTTCTCTTTGTCTCCAAAGATTGGAGCAAGACAAACAGAAAAATAATGAAGTGTGTCTGAAATGGGACATAGTAACAAACACTTTATCTTTCGAACTTACTGGATCTTCTTCTTATAGGAATTATATTCTCTAAACTTATAATGTCATGTTCGTTGATTGATATGGACATGTGCGTTGCCATGTCATTTGGAGGACAGTTTATAACGAAGTCCGGAAAAACCTTGGAGACGATTGCTGAGCTTATCTCCTGCTTATGCTTGTTGAAGTATCGGCAATGGAGACGTTGTCTAAGATATTTTCTTCTGTGTCTTTTGATTAACAGAAAAAGAGCTCACGTGAAAAATCCATAAGACGCAATCACAACCGTGATTTCTCCGGTTGTAAGAGCGAATGCTGAGAACAAATGTAGCTCATCCATGCTCGCACTTTTGACTATAACAGATTTCTCAAGCATATGACTTCTAAGGTGGTTGCGACTGTGCGAACTTCGTAAGTTGGAAGAATAAAAAACGTGATCTAAATAAAGAATAAAATTAAATTCACACGAAAGATTAAAAAGTCAAAATCACCATCATCGCTGGGAGCCGGCCTTCTGGCAGTGAACAGAATCAATGAGAAGCTGAACAAGAATGTCAAAATAATGAGCAGAACACTTTGTTTACGTCTCATTAGGACATAGATTTAGCGAACCAAATGTTTGACCTCAATCATGTTCGATTTGAAAAGTGAAAATCGCCTTCTCGCCTCGATTTCATTAATCAAAACCAATTTCAAAAACTATATGATTATCTATTACAACAAGTTTTTGAACTGATAATTACTGTTTACGTAAAGTTTTCTATATCGGGGGATACGCAATTACGTTTTCAACGCGAGCATGAGAACAAGTAATTTCCCTTTTCATCATCCAATTAATTTAGATATGAAACAAATTTTATTGTATAAACAATCATATGATAGATAGCACCAATAACATGCAATAGCTAGCTAGGAGTCTTCTTCATCTGTTACAGATGTTCTTAATGAGTTAATGAGTCAACTTGAGGATGTTAAAGTGTTTGTGAGCTAAGTATATTTAAGTGAAACTGTTAGCAACAACATAGTTCGCTTCTTCTCTCCAAATAGCTCACCTTGTTTAGCGCCATTCACTATCAAGCTATCAATTTCTATATTCACTTGGGCTCACGGTCTAACTACTGGTACTTCCTTTTTTGATAACATGAGCATCTGCAATGAGGAAATTAGAAGGTGTTTAGTAATACTCAACAAACAGCCAATAGAATATCCATTTTGCTTTGTTGATATTACGCGTAATGATTGCAATGTAATTCATGAACCCTTCTCTGAAACCAAAAAGATAACCAAATCTGAGTTTGTGTCTCACCGAGAGAAGAAGTTATAGGAAGCTGTACCCAATAGAAAGCAACCACTGAGTATAAGGAACCTCAGAGCTAGATTAGCTTCTTGAGAATATGAGGTATTCTTGCAAGGCTGAAAAAGACGTTATATACATACGGCTGTCAAGACATACTCTTTTTGCAGGTTTAGGTTTATTCGACGGAAAGGTATTCACCGTTTCAGATAAAGTCGCTACGGTGATCCTACTCTTTCTGAATCTTTTTATTTTGATCAACTTCAATATTATAACTACGTCACATAGAATCATGATAACTAAGCTTGTTATCTGAAATAGTCCATAATGAGGATATTCAGAGGACACAATACCTGTAGAACGTTATTTATAGTTCGGTATACGAATGTGTACGGTTTTGTGAAATCGAAAAACCAAGTCCTGTCATCCGGATAGTATTTATAACCACAGCAGCTTGTAAATAAAGGTACTGAAATACCAATTTGTATATCATAGGCCGTAATCACACTCACTTGTTAAGATGATTGTTATCAAATAGCAGCTTCCAATTATAGCGGTGAATATGCCTGATGACAATTTCCGGAAAAGAATCGGATAGTATATCGCCACGAAATGAAGAATAGAAAACACAGGAAGGAACACGAGCTGAGCAAACCAAGCGATACTCTGAATAACAACTGATAGTATATACTGAACGGAATCTGGAATAGTAATTAAGAATCTGTAAATGCCAGAGACAATGTACCTTCTGGATAGAAGGCTTTGGGATTAAAGTAGGTGATGATATCGTGAGGTATCACAACTAGGAATTGGACAAACTCCGTTAACACACAGCACAAAACAAAAACCAAGAGAATGGATCGTGCGCTCTTCAAACTGTATAAGATATGGCAGATCGTCAGGAAATTCAAACAAGCTATGGCAACATTAATTATCCACTCCATTAGTTCGTGGGCTTCAATTTTCATATTTCTGAAGCGAAGCAAAATTTATTAATACTATTCTGGTGAGGGTGTGGCCGTCCCAATGAATGGGAAGCTGAGCTTTCAATTAAGGCTTCGAAAAAAAATGGCAAAACCAGCATGTAGTACTGAACTGAAAAAAGGGTTGCCAGAAATAAAAGAACAATGAGAATACTCTTTGGACCTCCCTCTCCCCACGGTTACTATCATATGAGAAATGAGTTTTTCGAACAAAAATTATTCTGGTCATGTTACGTTGCAGAATTAATCTTAGAAAGTCGAAGACCATGTTTATTTCGTTGTTGTTTTTCTATCAATAAGCATCGTGCAATTTATCTCCGTGATGCATAGTTCTTAAGTAAAATAGAAAGCTGCTGGGGTCAATATCTTATTAGGGGAAACGCTCGCGCCGAATATGTATAGTCTATCATCAATACCAGTTAGCCATGAATGAAATGAAATGAAAAACAAGCTAAGAATTATGGTGTTTGCTGATTCTACTTATTAGTAGGGCCTGACCTGAATGACCTCAAGGCACCAAAAGAGAAAGTGATATAAGAGCGACAAGACCGAATTAGGATGTTCGTCATTTCGTTTTTTTTCAAAAACCTCTTGACTGCTTTATTCTTTGATTATTCCTCCCTCTTCATACATCTAGTGCGCAAAGCGTTAAACAACAAGCTGGCTCAAGCCTTTCTAAGAAGAAGCAAAAGAAGAAGTGAATCCGCGATGACGGCTCTGCTAATTCTTCCTCAAGCCATGTTTCCATTTACTTTAATAACTGTATCCCTCTTATCTATCGTCCAACTTGGATTAGCTATTCCAGTAGACAATGGTGTAGAAGGAGAGCCAGAGGTAATTTTAATTAGATATCAATAAGAAACGTGGTGAAACTCTCACATTGAATTCGTAATTTCTCACGTCAGTTCAAACATCCACATTAATTCTTAATTATAATCTAAATACTTCCCAGATCGAATGTGGGCCTTCCTCAATCACAATCAACTTCAATACCAGGAACGATTTTGAAGGCCATGTGTACATAAAAGGATTATTCGATCATGAGGAATGTAGGAATGATGAAGGTGGACGGCAAGTACGTGACTACACTCATTCCCATGACGCCATGAACTTCTTAAACTAATTATTCAGGTTGCGGGGATCGATGTTTCTTTCGATAGCTGTAATACAGCACGTACAAGATCTTTAAACCCCCGTGGTATATATGTTTCAACAACAGTGGTCATCTCTTTCCACCCGCAATTTGTTACAAAAGTCGACAGGTACTCCTTGCACCTTGCTTATATGAAATCATTCAAAAATCGTTCTAAGGGCTTACCGTATTCAATGCTTCTACATGGAAGCGGATAAGACGGTGTCTAATCAGATTGAAGTTTCCGATTTAACCACTGCTTTCCAAACACAAGTACAGCAAAGTCTATTCCAAACATCTCGACATATTTTGCATTCCAGGTTGTGCCAATGCCTATCTGTAAATACGAAATTTTGGATGGAGGACCAACAGGTCAACCTGTACAGTTTGCGAGAATAGGTCAACAAGTATACCACAAATGGACTTGCGATTCTGAAACTACTGATATCTTCTGTGCAGTTGTTCATTCATGTACTGTCGATGATGGCAATGGAGATCTAGTGCAAGTACAACTAAGCTTTCTATTTCATGATTCTAACCACGTTATTATAGATCCTGAATGAAGAAGGGTGTGCTCTCGATAAGTTCTTACTGAATAACTTGGAGTACCCAACAGACTTGATGGCTGGTCAAGAAGCTCACGTTTATAAATACGCCGACAGGTAAACAGTCATCCTGGAGATGTGAGTTCACTTAGTGTTTCAGATCCCAATTGTTCTACCAATGTCAGATAAGCATATCCATCAAAGAGCCTCAAACGGAATGCCCACGGCCTGAATGCTCTGAACCTCAAGGATTTGGTGCTCCTAAGGTTACATTATAACGAATCAAAATTACCTGCTCTTGTTGATTAAGTTGGAAGCTGTTGGCAATATAGTTAAGAGGAACTCATCACAGCCTCCTATTTTCAAACGGTTATTGCGAAAGCGAGAAGCTGCTTACGAAACTCTTGATGTTAGGGTAGAGCTCACTACACAGGATATCCTATTAGATGATGAGGTAAGAATTTTTGAAACTCACAGTAAAGCTATTGTTTTGCAGACATACAAAGGTGACACTTCAGCACTCACAGCGTCCAAGCCATATTTCGAAGGTAATGCTAGATCTGAGAATAAAAACATTAGTTTTTTCAGGTGTATGTCTCTCACCAGCAGTGTTTTCGTTAATAGTTTCAGCTTGGTTTCTACTTATCATAATCGTGACCATAGCATCATTCCTGTCAAATCGAATGAAGCACAAGATGTAAGCAAACGACCCGAATGAAGATCATTCAGATTTCTACTCCCGATAGCTTTACCATTCTCTATTAATTATGAAGAAGTTCTAACTATCTATAACTGCGAACTAATAAAACTATTTGCACATTTTTCGTTTTATTATGAACACTGGCTAGATATAAGAACTATAGGTTTATGTTGGTTGTTCTAAACCACTCATAAAAGATATTAAGCGCCAAAAGCTGTTTCTAGGCCTGGAAACGCATTTGCTTAAAAAAACTTGACCATGGTGTGTGTGTTTGTGGAAATGATAAATGTGTACTTCTACTAGCTATTATCCTCTAGTAGCCGAGAAAACATCTGAATGTATGATAAGTCAGAACATTGCAGATGATGGATTGAAATTTCCAATGATCGACTAGAATCCTCAATGATCAAATGTGGTACAAATAAAATTCTATGATAACCCGGGACACAAACCATTTTGTCTCTTTCATCTCTCATTCATTCTCGATTTACCCGCCATCCTTCTTTCACACAGCTTGTTACGATCGGTATTTGTAATCAAGAATACTAAGAAAAATTGTAGGAGAATTAGAGAAAAGAAACAGATATAAACTGGCCACACACTGTTGGCTATCCTACTAACCAGCATAAGAGGAAGAGCAACTTGTTTTCCAATCATTACCATATGGGGCTGTTTCCTTCTACTCTATAAAGCCATACCCCATCATTCTTCTACTTCACACAGTCACCAACACCCCATATAAAGAGCGAAGCCATTAAGAAAATAAACAAATTAGCTTCTCATTGCTCTCATAGTTCGTTACGATATCGCAGATTATTTCTCTTTTTTTATATATTCGTTAAACTTACAGCTTATATTATAGATGTGGTTATTCTTACTGTTGTCCATTATCAGTACTTTGAACGCTATCCCTGTCGACAATGGTGTTGAAGGAGAGCCTGAGGTACATTTTTATTGCTTTTTAAAAGAACAAAATACCTTGATGATTTGATCTAATTGTATGATGTACAACCGGGTCTCAAGAAAATGATTATAGAAATGAAATGTCACGTAACTTTCATTTAAGAGTCACGTAACTTTCACGTAACTTCGGCGTGAATTTCATTCAACGTTTATTTTTTATTGAGCTTTGCATGAGCGGTCGTATACAGGCGTAACTTTTTAAATTAAGGTGGAATGTGGACCCAGCTCAATTACAGTAAACTTCAATACCAGAAATCCTTTCGAAGGTCATGTATACATAAAAGGATTATTTGATCATCAAGAGTGTCGCAGTGATGAAGGAGGCCGCCAAGTTTGTTCCTGTCTAGTAAAGCTCATTTTAATCTCAACTATCAGGTCGCTGGAATGGAAATACCATTCGATAGCTGTAATACAGCTCGTACACGTTCTTTGAACCCTAGGGGAATTTTCGTCACCGCAACTGTAGTGATATCTTTCCATCCACAATTCGTTACTAAAGTCGACAGGTTCGTTATAAACATGTTTTTCGACTGAAAAAAATCTTAGGGCTTACCGCATTCAATGCTTCTACATGGAATCAGACAAAACCGTTTCAACCCAGATTGAAGTATCAGAGCTCACCACTGCATTCCAAACTCAAGTTTGAAACGATAGCTTCAACCAGTTTTTAAAATATACACTAAGGTTGTGCCAATGCCTATCTGTAAATACGAAATTTTGGAAGGAGGACCAACTGGCCAACCAGTACAATTTGCTACCATCGGTCAACAAGTTTACCACAAATGGACTTGCGATTCTGAAACTACTGATACCTTCTGTGCAGTTGTGCACTCTTGCACTGTTGATGACGGTAATGGAGATACTGTTCAAATTTTGAACGAAGACGGATGTGCTCTTGATAAGTTCTTACTGAATAACTTGGAGTACCCAACAGACTTGATGGCTGGTCAAGAAGCTCACGTTTATAAATACGCAGACAGGTATACAGTCATCCTGGAGATGTGAGTTCATTTCGTGTTTCAGATCCCAGTTGTTCTACCAATGTCAGATAAGTATCACGATCAAAGACCCTAATACCGAATGTCCAAGACCACAGTGTACTGAACCACAAGGGTTCGGAGCTGTAAAGCAAGGCACAGGTATGCTCTTGATCAGTGAGCAATTGATTCGAATACTTTTAGGTCCTCATGTTGCCACCAACCCAGCTCCAGCTGCTGCAGCTGCCCCAGCGGTCGTTGCTGCCGGTGCTGCTGCTGTTAACATTCGACTCCTCAAGAAAAGATCTGCTGATAATGAAGCCGTTCTTGATGTCCGCGCCGAGTTGACAACTCTTGAAATTCTAGATGGGGTAAAAGCATTCGATCTGTTCTGAAGTTGTAATTTTGTTTTCAGGAAGAACAACCCAACTTCCAATCACCAGAAGCTCTCGTTGGAGAACGAAGCGAACCAATGGGATTCTGCCTGTCTCCCCTTCACTTTTCTCTTTTCTTAACGCTTTCCATTTTACTGTCAACAATGCTCTCTGCAATCGTTTTCTGCAATACAAAATCCACCTTCAAGTGCTAATCTACCATTTCTCATTTCCCTATTCCAAGTGCATTAGCTGTAACTCGTCTGAGATCAGTGAAGAAATCCATTGTTATGTAGCTGTTAACAATTTTTGCATTTTAAATGATATAAAATCACTGCAATCTGAGAGTTAATAAAATCGATACATTTTATTTTTAAGTCTTTTACAAGCCAGCTTCAATAATCAATCCTTTCTTCCTGCACCACCTGAACTAGCTTCCATGGCTTTCGGAGTTTTCTGAGGAGAGTTAATGGAAGTTCTGGGAGTCACCTTTCGTGGGGGATTCCCAGAAGTTTTCGGAGTGCTTTTCGAGGAAATTTGTGCTACAGGTTTTTCTGGGGCTCTCTCTGGTGCGAATGTGATGTCGTCAAGCACAACAAGTTCTCGTTCACAAACAATCTGCATTTTGCACTTTTTAGCTGCAAAAAGAATGGCTCCTATGGCAGGCTGCATGGTGCTTTTGTAGAATTTCGCGCGCCGGATCTGTTTTCTCGCCTTCATGCAATCATAAAAACCTTCAAAGTATAAACTATATATATATCGCAAAAGGAAAGTCTCGCGAACCTAATTTCAAACAAGGCCAGGATTTGAAAACAGATCCGATAACCACAACGTTACAACATTCTTTCATTTCCTTAGAAATAGCTTAAGTAAATTTCAGTTGCTCATTCATACTTCACTCATTTCAGGATAAAAGCCGCTGATCTGCTTTCCAATTTCATATCCGGCATCATAGAATAGTTTTGCAATGATAGGTACATCAATTCCTGGAAACATAACGACAGTAGTATGAACACGTCGAATTCCAACTCACGTTTAGATAAGGATAGGGTTAATGCAGCTATTACAGATTTTTCAAAGTTAGTGTACAACATATTTAGTAAATCCATTTTTCTAGTTATTTTGAAATGCTGAAACAAGAGAATCGGAATAAACGCTTGTCTCTTACCGAGTAAATAAGTTTCCGGAGAATATCAATATCCTCTATTCGTTGAACTCTGTCTTCTGCATCGAACAACATCTTTATGGCTCTGCAACAACTTCAATAACTTGGTACCTAGCTATGTTTCGAACTTTTGGGCTATCCAGAACCCACTAGCCTCATCACCTATAAGATGGCCCCAACCACCAACACAGAAAACTTCTCCCGAAGCTGACAGCATTCGAAAACTAGAACCCGTTCCAACAATAGCGATAATACCCTCTATAAATTATATGGAGGTAAAAAATAATAAGTTCAGGACAACCATTTTCGAAAGAAGCCTGCAAAGCACACACTGCATCTGATACTAAATGGAAAGACTTTGCTATGTCTCCATGATGTTCTGACATATATCTGACGAAATGCTTATTCAAGTCTTCATCTTCTGCACCAGATAACCCCATGCCCTGAATTAGCATGTAACTCCATTAATGGATATTGTCGGATACCAAACTTTCCAAGGGTAGTTCAACGTTTTCTGCATAAGCTGACTCCCTAACCCAATTTCCAATAGTGTCACCAGTTTCTTCGAAGCCATTCAAATAAGGATTCGTACTTGGACCAACAACTTCTTGACTGAAACTCCCGTCTGACCGAGCAAACACCAGCTTTGAATGTGTAGCACCTCTAGAATATATCATAAGGAAGTTCCATGATGTGAATGATACCCCTCAATACCAGCAAACACTGCATCTAGTGGTGCCTTAGCTTTTTGAATAAGTCCTATCTGTATTGTGATATCTTCATGAACAGTTCGTAGTAAATGGCATTCCAATCCTTCAAGAAGAAGCAAGTGCTCAATAGAGTCTGATTCACTAAACTACTCTATAGTTTGGAAGACATGTCTTGACATACTCTCTGACTTGATAAGAGAAATAGAATCTCAGCTTGGGAAACTTTTTGACAAAAACCGAAACCGTCCTAACAAGCTTTTTGAAATCATTGGGTTCATAGAAGACATCGGAGCCTATGATGTAATCTACATGACTAATTTTGGCGACTTCAGGACCAAAGTCCTCTACTGAAGCGTTTTTCTTGAGAACAGCCGCCCAGTCCAGACCCTTTAAGCTCTACAGTAATATTTAACAAATTCAACTTTACCAAAATTTCATACTCTTGTCCCTCAGTCATAAACTCATCGTTTGCGGTCACATTCTCCGTCAGAACTTGTAGAGACTAAAAGATCAGGGTGATTCGTTTTTCAATATGTGCTCACTTCATGAATTTTAGGGTGGTCGGTGAATATTACTTTTTTGGCGCCACATCTGATCGCTATCGAGCCAGCCAAACCTGTACAGCCAGCCCCTAGCTCGATTATCACCTTGTCTGCTAACATTTCCTTATGGAGTAGTAGAAAGTTGGCTAATAAATACAATGAGCTAGATAGCTTCTGTTATGAGCTTTCAAACCTAGATGAGGTGCACAAGGCCATACAGTCCTCCAATGCTCAGTGTTCATCCTAGTCAAATAGAAGTTAAATCACTGCAAGTTAAAAGAATCTAAGACAGTTTCTAGGAAATCCTCACTAAGCTAGGTGAACGGAAAAAAAATAAATAGTTTATATCACATTTCTATAACAGGTAAACATCATAATCACAGAGCATTCTTTGAAATTCTCCAAGATTCCAAGTCGACCAAATATTCAGCGTCAGTGAACAATGGAGTATCAATTAATCTGAAAAACAGATTCGGAAGTTGATGAGCATGAAATCAGGAACAAACTCTATAGCGTTCATGCCACACAGTGGACAATCGTTCCCTAATAATTCGTCCAAACTCTTCATAATTTCTTGGAAACGAGTTTCGCATTCTGAATTTGAAAACTCAAATAACCCAAAAATAAGAAGGAATGGATACTTGTCACGGCATCTCCTTTGCCACCCGAACGTTCAGCCACCTCAATATTGTACAGAGCACGTTTCTCTTCAAGCACGAGCCGGTCTAATCTCTCACGATCTTTCTGAATAGAAAAACAGTCCTTATAACGAGATATCACAACTCACAGGGCTCAGGAACACCGCAGCTGAACTTTCCAAGCACTCGCGATGATAGAAATGACGACATTCGAATGGGTAAAAAGGTCTTCCGGCCAAGGAATGCTTGCATACAGCACAAACATCACCCACTTTGACAATGGTTACTCTTAAAAAAATTACATTACAATCGACTGAACAGTATGTCCTCACCTATTCTTCAAGCGATCTGTCCTTTCTCGAATATCTTGGGCGACTTGAGTAGCTTCCTTGAGAGACAATTGGATTTCCTAAAAGGATGTTTGTTCTCCTCCTTACTCATGATGTCACATACCGATATGTTTTTGGAGTGATCTTTCAAACAGTCACATAAGGCATCTTTGAAATGCTCAATCTTAGTGAAATCTGGGAAGTACGGAAAGATGTCTTGAATAGACAAGGCGTTCCTCGATTCTTTCAACAGGTCTATACACTTAGCGACGTCTTTCTCTCGTTCAATTACATATTTGGCTGTAAAAAATTCAAATTCATATTTACTGAAGAAACAGAAAAACCTATTTTCAACCAGATCCTTTTCCTATCATCTTTCGAATAACGTGGTTCTAAACCCATAGCTTCATACTCATACTCGGACTCTGGTTCCATGTGACTAGCACATGTTTTTGCCAGATCAAGGCTAATCTACAAAATATATTTTCAAAAAATAGAGCCGACAGTCAAACCTGAAGAGCTTTCTCAACCGCTTCCATGAATAATTCGGATACACAATATAGAAAAACCAATGACTTATCATGTCCTGAAAAAAAAAGCGTCACTTAATTAAATTAGCATAAAAATTCAAGAAGTGTTTCACGGGACGCTTTTCATTCAAAGCAGTGAATACACGGAGAGCGGTTGCATTCATTCCAACAGTTTTTTTCATTCAATGATTTTCTTTATTTCAGATTAAAGAATTACCATATTGCTCACAAGTCCGGATAGCAAATTCGAGGTCATAAGGTAAACACGATTTCTCTTTTCCATTTTCTACGAAATAATCATGAAGCCTTAAGTTCAGCATTATTCTTACTATCAAAGGATGGATTACTTACTTAGTTGGACTGTACTGTGCGTAGAGTAAGATCAGTAGATTGTTCAACGGATAGTCTCGACAATACTTCGGAAGGGTTACTGCCCATTCAAGGTACCGGATAGCTTGTTTGGCCTCAATAGAACAATAGTATTGTAGAGATATTTTCCACTTACGACTTTGGGAAGTTTTTGACATTCACACAGGGTAGGAAGCATTCTGCTAGGCTGAATTCGTTCGTTCTCAATCAGATGACGGAAGAGATCGAATGGAATGTGCTCAACTAGCTGAGAACTGTAATCATAAAACGCTTCTGGTGAATTCTGAATTCAAAAATCAGTTTAGCTTCAGAACATCTCACTCACTTCTTTAATGAGAATGTCCAATACTTCTTTGTACTGTTCTCTCATCAGTAGAATGCTAATCACGGTAGGATAGTCTGAAAGATACAATAACAGAGAGAGGATCCGGGAAAGCTACCTTTTAGTTGTTTGGAAAGATACAACTGAGCATCGAAGTCCGCGTGCGCTATCATCAACCTATAAGCTGCTTCACGATTAAAATTAACGGATTCCTGAAAATGAAGCTGAGATTTGAGAAGAGTGAGTGCAAACTAACATGGATCAATTTCTTGTTCAGGAATCTTTCGAGATGATCATAAGACTCTCTTATTTCATCAGCGCTTCCGGATTCTCTTCGTAACTTTGCCATTTGGCTTAGTTGAACATCTAAGATCCACATTACGAGAACATCTCTCTTCATTTTATCCTATAATAGTAAAAACTGAGGTAATATAGAGCCCTCTACGGTTACCTCTGGAGTAGATAACAACATGAGTCTTTGTTCAAGGAATGTTTGCAACCCCAGCTGCTTACCGTCATCGGCGGATAGCAGCTTAGAAACAACAGTTTCAAAAGGTTCATTTGATTGATTCAAAGCTAGGGCAGCGGCAACAAAACTGGAAAAATGAGCGATGAAATAATATCTGATGAATGACTATACTTCTTATCGGCAATATATTTATCCGCTTGTTTTCGCAACACTAGCCTATGAGCATCGGGATCAATGTGTAATCGTTCATTGGACACTGATATAGCATTGGCGTAATCACCCTTGTTCAAGAAATATCGCCAAGCATATCTTTAACAGGAGTATGAATCATCTATATTTGAAGAAACTGACCTCCCTTCATCATTAGGCCTGTATTTCAGCGTCGCCGTGGCAGTGTAAAGCCAATGGTACTCGGCCAGTTGGTCGAATGTTAAGCCGATACATTGTCCATGTTCCTGAAAAATATGAAACTGTGACTGAAATACTAATGTCTCGTTTTACAGAGGGCAATGCATCCTCAAAAGCAACTTCATAGCTTTGTAGAGATATAGCAAGCATTCGGTGTGGATAAGCTAGTACCAAATGAAACTCAGTGAGAGAAGCTCCAACAGGGTGAAGAATCAATCCCTCAACACGTCCATGTCTAAATTTACATTAAACAGATAGACTATACAACAATCAAATACTCGAAGTGTTTCTCTTTTTCAAGAATGTCCCTGCTTTTCTCAGCGAACAGATTCACCTTTAAAAAATGGTTAACTGAGGGTTCAGAATACATTCTCACCTTTCCAACCATATATCCTGAAGAACCAACCCATAAGAATTTGAAAGGCTTCGATGAATCCTCCCTCTTTCTATATAAAACTAGAAGGTCGGTTGAGATTGGAGCGTTACTGCTCTCAGGCATTAGGAGAGCTTCTTCTCGTATATCTAAACTATGCACTTGAGAAAGTTGAACGGTTGACATTTAAACTTTTTTTTTCGAAGAAAGGCTGAAAGACATGCTGAGTTTGATCAGAAAGAGTAAAGCTTTGGATGTTCTGCAGACTTGCAGAGCTCAAATAAGTGCTACGTAAAGGTGGCCCGATAGATGCACGTAGTGAGTAGAGCATGTCAGATTGGCAAACCAACAAAACCCATCTTAAGGAACTGCGTAAAACGTAACAGTCTGCAAAACCTACTTAGCTTTTCCAGGTTCACTATCCGAGACAACGAACAGTTGTAATTCACAAATCTTTTGCTTGGATGCATTGTTACGATTGAATACATTAGGAAAGTCTTTTATGTAGTTCACATATCCGTTTGAAGAAATATTCGTCTCATATACAACCCCTGCAAAATGAACTCAAGAAGATCCTCAATATTCATCTCACCAGTTGTAGAGCCTAACAAGATGGGACCTGTTTCAGTTTCTTTGAAATTTTCTGGATTCCATCCTACCGCACTTATCTGATCTTTCAATTTTTTTATTGGTATGATTATATGTTCTTTGATATTATAGTAGAAGTTATCCCCAGCTCTACTGGATATCAGAGCATGAAAGCCTGTAGGAGATAAATGTAAGTACTCCATGGTGTCTGAGCCAGTGAGAGGCACAATAATTTCTGCAAAAAGAAAGCATGTTGAGGACACCAGATGGCAAGCTTATTAGCACCTTTCGGTTTACTCGAACATGATAGGGATTGACAAATTAGTGTTTTGCTCTTGACCGCAATAAGCATAGTTTGATTACTGACTCTAACTGTATGTATTGTCTGAGACCCATTCCTGAAATCTCAGAACTGTAAACTGTGCTCTTCCACACATACCTCTTATCCGCATGCAACTCTCTTCGAAGATCCAGCACCGTTCGAACGAATATCCCATTCTGTCCTGTGTCCGTCATGTTATTATGTTATTATATGATTATATACAAGAATATCTGAAGGACTGCTTTGTTCAAATTACAAGAAGCTAGATTCAACTTTATATTCATTCAACGAATAAGGCTATTCATTAACACTATCGCGACCTTTCAACATTTTAGTGACTTCTTCACAAACTACACTTTCAACCTCTTGCGTATTTCTTGAAAAACCAAATTTGAACAGGCTTCTTTCTTTTTCAATCAAAACCTATTGAGAAATTAAATACATAATGTTTACCTTCATTTGAATCATCTCAAACTACTCATCACACTCCAACACTAAGTCGCAACGCAACATAGTTAGGACTTGGAGCATCACATTTCTCATTTTCGCACATTCAACACTTGGGTTTCGATGCCAGTAACGAATGAAACTCACATTCAACATGAATTATATAATATTAACCTACCTCACAGTTTTTCAAGTTCCTCTACACGCCGTGTTTCTAAAATTCTAAAAAATTCGATTTCAAGAGAAATGAAATGATCTTCAATCACGACTAGCACGGACAGAAATTCCTTCAGAAAACAAAAAAATTTATTATAATTCGGAAGTCACGATAACAATTTACTGCGTAATAAGGACGGATTGGTCAGGCTTCAAGTAAACATCGCTCAACGATTATACAATGATATTATAAACATTCGAATTCAATAAATATATTTTTTTGATATCTATACTGAGATTTGAAAAACCAGTATTGCCCATAAATGAAGTTTCCTTCTTTCTAAGCTACACTCACAAAATAGCTGAAGAAATGTCTTGAAGAGGTGACAGCTATAGAATAGTCGGATACTTCACTTACCAGCTCGAAAGCATTCATCAACATTTCAAAAACATATAAGCTATTAAGGTTATGACCGGTGTTCCATATAAAACCGACGATGTATTGCACAGCGACTTCGAACAACCACAAACAGACACATTTTTCAAATGAAATAATGATCTGAATCGATATTACAGTGACAATTTGTTCTTAAACAACACAACTATCACTCATATAGTGTTAAAGCTTTACGAGATGCAACCGTTCTTTACGTATGATGTGAAATAATAAAATGTGCAACCGCTCTGTTCGTCTAACATTAACAAATGAAACTAACAACCCAGCAATCAATTACGACTGGAGCAAACTTACTTTAAGACTAAACCTGATTGGCAACTAATTTCTAATGTGTTATGAATTTTTTTGGTTTTTAACCTCTTATTCATACATTGTCGAACGACGACACGTTCATCTGAATTATGAACGTCAAGATGTTTATTTTCAAACGACTACCTCTAAAACTGAAGCTCAATTTTGCACATTCGGGCTCTAAATCGTTTGATTTCCTACAAACTGCTATAGGAGTTTCTGAAAATATCGGCTGAACTGATAACGGAGCATCTGAGCAAGTTTCCGAATATTCAGGTATTTTCAAACCACTCTAAAAAGGCATGTCATTACACGCTGAGACAACACAAACCATACCCTACTCATGACATGATTCAATTCTCGCATATCAGTTGACGACAACTTGTACGAAGGTTTTTTGTCTTTCTCATTGACTTGCCTGAAACTCTCATGATATACGAAAAGTTTAGCTATTACCTTTGATTCAATGAGATACATGAGTAGCAAATTATATCGTTAAGCACGAAGTTCACTGAAAAAAATAGATGCCAATGTTAAGGTCCTGTCTACTTCTGCCTACCACATAAGCCATTAATAATAAAGAACGACCAAAACATATAGTCATGTATTTCTTCTTTACAATGATGTTGTACAACTGAAATGATACATGTGTATATTTGCAATGATAAGCAATGTTGTTATACGAGAAGCTGGCCGAATCACTCGCACATCATACTAACAGCAGAAAGAACATGGTGAGCTAGTACTTCAACAGGCTAGCTCTCAATGAGTTGAAATGAAACTTATGAATTCATTATAACAGCAATAAGTATCACTACCATGTGAAACTGAAAGTTAACGAGAAAAAGAGCTTGGGAACTGAATAGGCCAGCCGTATTTCACTTCGCTCAAAATTTTTGGGAGCAATTGAGCAGACAGCTATTACTTTCAACGAAATGTCCATCGCTGCTTAAGTAGCACGGTGTTTAGTTCTCTTTTCAAAGCTATTTGTCCTTTCACTAATGATCGTTCTCTAGATATTTCCATTATATGAAAAAACTAGAGTGTCACAACATCTTGATCTACAGCTACTCAAATATGAATAGGACAACATGTCCAACAAGAACAGAAACTCTGCGGAAAAATAAGCAGCGCTTGTAGATTTAAGGTTATAGCTGAGCTTAACTACTAGCCCGTGACAAGCAGTTTCCTTCACCCAAAAGCCCACTGACGATCCGATTACTTTCACGCATAACTATTTCCGGAAGAAAATAATGAAAGCAGAACTATAACGAAAATTTCGAACAATAAATATGAATACTTACATGTTGTTATGCGGAGCGAAATATGTAATGTTCGCTAATATTATTGCAGGTTGGCCAAATTCGTCAGAGTTCATGGAAAAGACTCCTTGCCACATACATATTTCTGACAAGCCTAAATTTGTACATGTTGAATTAAATTAAAAACGGGACAAAACAAAGACAGAATTTTAGATTAGGTCAGACATACTATGGGCTAATGTCATGAATTCAAAAAAGCAGTCATAGTCAATGTTCTGTTGGCGAAATTAGATTCAATAGAGAATGGATCCCGACAGTTTTGTAAAAATTTCTTTCATTTCGCTGAACAACAGAAGCACTTCTACTCGATATAGACACATCACACCGAAACTGTTGAAATAGTTGAAATACCTTCTTTGTCGAACAATAACACTGTGTAGTTTAACCGAATGAAATTTTTTTTGTCGGAATATGGAAGTTTCTAAAGTCAAACTAGTTTTCCTGGAAATTACAAAGATAAGTAGAAATACCTAATGAACAAACCATTCTTCTCATTCATAGTGTCTAATGCACTTTATTATTCTCTTCTTTGCATACTCGCTATATTCTGTTGAAGCATATGGAAGGTTTATTATTAGTGACCTAAGCGCATTCTCTTAAATTGCTTTCAGATTCACAAGATCGGGCTACAATAGGCCGCAGTTTGGCATTACCACAGCCAATGAACCAGCCTTCGATAACTCACAAACTAATCTATATATCCCAGCGGATCAGGGCTATCTCAGCAATCAGCAATATTTTTCTAATAATTGGAAGCCGAGAAATTGGAATAGGCAATGGCGGACACATATGAACAATTTTAATAATGAAGAATTCTCAAGAAATTCTTGGAAAGCCGTAAATCATGAACGCTTCAGCTCGCAGCCGACGACGATCATCGAGAAAACCATAGAATATATTCCTGACCAGAACGCTCATCCAACAAGGGTTCCATACCCGGGATCTCATAGAAACATGTTTGAGCCTGTAAATTCTGAGTACACATCTAGCTTCCGTCAGCAAAAAGGAAACCTCTTTCCACCTTCTGGCTCCTCAAAGTCCGATTACTCAGCTCCCACCATACCAGATAACGTATCCTCCTATGGACGACCAAGAGGTGATTTTTTCCCACCTCCTGGTCCTCCAAAGTCAGATTATTCGGTCCCCAACATCCCAGAAAACGAGTCCTCCTATGGACGACCAAGAAATGACTTCCTCCCACCTCCTGGTCCTCCAAAGTCAGATTATTCAGCCCCTACCATCCCAGAAAACGAGTCCTCCTATGTTCCACCAAAAGGTGACTTCCTTCCACCTCCCGGTCCTCCAAAGTCAGATTATTCAGCCCCCACCATCCCAGATGAAGTACCCTCCTATGGTCC